GTGGTAGTTAAAGAGCACATTCTAAGGATTATTTCTGCGTTTGATTTATTAAAATATTCCCACCCAAACCCGAGTAACGAAGGTGGAGGCATTACTTTTCATTCAAACCTCGGAAATGCTCTGAGTGACATCATAACTCAAAAACCGCTGGACTGCAAGAACAAAAATATGGTCCGCAGCCTCACCTTTACTATACCATTGCAACAAGAGCAACTGGTCTTGCGAAACCCTCTTATAGTGCCGAGACCTATTAAACATGGCGACTACTGGATGGCATATGTTCTTTATCAGAAACTAGAGCTGATGTGGTCTATCCAATGCAATTTTCTGAATCAGGACCCCAAATAACCAAAGTTGACCAAAACTGTAAACTACTGTAGTTTCCTGAGAAGTCACCTGTGAATTCACACATCCCCGCCCAACCTCCCCTCGAGTGTCATGCCCCACCTTCCTGCTGCTTTGCGGCGGAAAATAACTGGTGGCTAGCCCCGCCCATGGGCTATATATACTCGAGGGGGGTAGGCGGGGCTAGCCGGGGACTAAAATGTCTATTTTATCTTCTAGAACAGTGTTTCTCAACCTGGGGGTCAGGACCTCTGGGGGGGGTCGCAAGGGGTTGCCAGAGGGGTCGCCAAAGACAATTAGAAAACACAGTGTTTTCTGTTGGTCGTGGGGGTTCCGTGTGGGAAGTTTTGCCCAATTCTATCATTGGTGGAGTTCAGAATGCTCTTTGATTATAGGTGAACTACATTGGTGGAGTTCAGAATGCTCTTTGATTATAGGTGAACTACATTGGTGGAGTTCAGAATGCTCTTTGATCATAGGTGAACTATATTGGTGGAGTTCAGAATGCTCTTTGATTATAGGTGAACTACATTGGTGGAGTTCAGAATGCTCTTCGATCATAGGTGAACTACATTGGTGGAGTTCAGAATGCTCTTCGATCATAGGTGAACTACATTGGTGGAGTTCAGAATGCTCTTTGATTATAGGTGAACTACACTGGTGGAGTTCAGAATGCTCTTTGATTATAGGTGAACTACATTGGTGGAGTTCAGAATGCTCTTCGATCATAGGTGAACTACATTGGTGGAGTTCAGAATGCTCTTTGATTATAGGTGAACTACATTGGTGGAGTTCAGAATGCTCTTTGATTATAGGTGAACTCCCAGCCACTACAACTCTCAAATATCAAGGTCTATCTTCCCCAAACCGCACCACATTTGGGCATATTGAGTATTCATACCAAGCTTGGTCCAGATGCATCGGCGTTCTCTGGATGTGGGTAAACTACAACTCCAAAACCCAAGGTCAATGCCCACCAAATACTTCTAGTATTTTCTGTTGGTCATGGGAGCTGTGTCCAAAGTTTGGTTCAATTCCATCATTGGTGGAGTTCAGAACACGCTTTGATATTGTAAGTGAACTGTAAATCCCAGCAACTACAACTCCAAAATGACAAAATCAATCCTCCCCTCAACCCCACCAGTATTCAAATTTGGGCGTATCTGGTATTTGTGCCAAATGAATGAAAATACATCCTGCATATTAGATATTTACAAGATGATTCATAACAGGAGCAAAATTATAGTTGTGAAGTAGCAATGAAAATAATGTTATGGTTGGGGGTCACCACTAATGAGGAACTGTATTAAGGGGTCATGGCATTAGGAAGGTTGAGAACCAGTTCTAGAAGGTTCCGAAAGCTGTACTGTGCAGGCGCAGAGATACCATATGTGCACATTCACAGTTGACTACGACAGGAAACTTTTTGTTCCCTGTTCAAAAAAAAAAAAAGATTGGGAATCACTGGCCTAAAAGGAGCACTGAGAGCATGAATACGATACTGTGATCTGGATCAGTGACAAATCAATTACTCAGAAACCAAAATCATGGTATTGGCCAAACGACCCAAGAGTCATTCCTGGATCATAGACAGACATAAAATCGAGTGCGTCCCATGTCTCAAATCTCTGGGTGACCTCTCCTTTGCCCTCTATTTGGTCGTGGAAACCATCCCGACCACGCTTTCTCAGCCTCGGAGGGAAAGCACAGGCCGTACAATCACCTCGGAACAAACATGATCCAAACCATGGGCTATATATACTCAGGGAGGTGGGCGGGGCTAGCCAGGAGTAAAATGTTTTTTCTTTCTATTCCAGAAGGTTCCAAAAGCTGTGCTGCGCAGGCGCAGAGATACCAAATGTGCGATTCACAGGGACTACGACAGGAAAATTATGTTTCCACAAAATTGCAACCATAAAATTGCTATGAAATACAGAACCCTTTTTTGGGGGGATTCGTGTATACAAAAGTCATTCCAAAGAACACCAGAGGTCGGAAATGATTCGGATTCCTTTTGCACCGAGAGCGATGGGGTCGGGCTTGGGGCAAACCGGCTTAAGCAAACAGGCTTCTCGATCCCCGCCGCCATCGCTTTCTGCAAAAATGTATGATTCGGGCAAGAAGAAAAGCTTCGCTGTGAGGCTCCTGTTGATCTTGGACGGGAGCTCGGTCCCATTGCTAAGCGAATCAGATTCCAAGGCCTGTTGCTTAAAATATCTCCTCCTCTCCAAACTTCACCCAACCCTCCCATTTTCAACCCATTTTTTTCCCTTCAGGAAATATGTTGTATTTGGTTTCTTCTCCTCTCTCCGCAACCAAAAGGAGCAGAGCTTGCCAGACGATGACAAAACCCAAAGCCATTGCAAACGAACGAGTTGCCTTCGCCACAGCCTATTGCCGAATGTTATATACTCGTAATTTATTACGAGCAAGAGATCAGACAAACACAGCTCACTGCATTTTGTAAAGGCCTGTTTCTGTTGGCCGGCCATTAGATTATCTATCTATCTCCAGTGTTGCCTGGGTGTCTTTGCAGGCCGCTGCCCGCCTGCTTTCCCCCTTCTCCAGCTCTAAGAAAGCATTCCACTCAATGTCTGCATGCCAAATCTCTTTGGAACAGCCCTCTCGGTGACTCTTTCTTTTCTTTCCTCCACACACCTTCTTCCTCTTTTTTTCTCCCTTCCTTTCTTGGCTTTCCCTTATACACTCCCCTCTCGTCTTTCTTTCTTTCCTTTCTCTGCCCTCCTTTTCCTTTCTTCCCTTCTTCTGTCCCTCCTTTCTCTTTCTTCCCATTATCTTTCTCTGCCTTTTCTTTCTTCCTCACTTTCTTCCTTCTCCCTTCCTCTCTCTCCTTCTTTTCCCCTCTTCTCTCCTGTCTTTCTCTTCCTTCCCTTTCTCTCTCTGCCCTTCTTTTTCTTTCTTCCTCACTCCCTTTTTTTTCTTTTCTCTTCCCTTCTTTCCCCCTCTTTGCTACCTTTTGTGGCCTTTTTCTTTTTTCCCTACTCCCTCTTCCCTTCTTCCTTTCCTTTTTCTATCTTCCCCACTCCCTCTTCCCTTCTTCCCTCCTTTTCTCTTCCTTCCCCATGCCCTCTTCCCTTTCCCTTCTTTTCTCTTCCCCTCTTCCTTTCCTTTTTCTTTCTTTCCCACTCCCTCTCCCTTTCTTTCCCCCCCTTCCTTCTTTCTATGGCTTTTTTTCTTCCCCACTCTTCCTTCTCCCTCTTTTTCTTTCTTTTCTCCTCTTCCTCCTCTCTCCTTTCTTCTCCCTCTTTTTCTTTCTTCCTCCCTCCCTTTCTTCTTTCCTTTCTCTTCCCTTCTTTCCCCCTCCTTGCTTTCTGTGCCTTTTTCTTTCTTCCTTGCTCCCTCTTTCCTTCCTTTCTCTTCCCTTCTTTACCCCTCTTCCCTCTTTTTCTCTTTCTTCCCCACTCCCTCTTCCCTTTCTTTCTCTTCCCCTATTCCTTTCCTTTTTCTTTCTTCCCCACTGCCTCTTCCTTTCTTTTCTTTTCTCTTCTTTTCCCGTCTTCCCTCCCTCCTTTCTCTTCCTTCCCTTTGTCTCTCTGCCCTCCTTTTTCATTCTTCCTCATTCCCTCTTCCCTTTCCCTTCCTTTCACTTCCCTTCTTCCTTTCCTTTTTCTTTCTTCCCCACTCCCTCTTCCTTTCTCTTTTCTTCTTTTCCCCTCTTCCTTCCTTTTTCTTTCTTCCCCACTCCCTTTTCCTTTCTCTTCTCTTCCCCTCCTTTCCTTTTTCTTTCTTCCCCACTCCTTCCTCTTCCTTCCTCTTCCCTCCCCTTTTCTCTTCCGTTTTTTCTTCCCCACTCCCTCTTCCTTTTCCCTTCCTTTCTTCTCCCCTCATACCTTTCCCTTTTCTTTCTCTTCCTTTCTTCCATTTTTCTTTCTTTTCCCTCCCTTCCATTCCCTCTTTTCTCTTTTTTCCTTCCTCCTTTTGCTTTCCCTCACTCTCCCCTTTCTCCTTCCTTTCTCTTCCCTTCATTTTTCTTCCCTCCCTCTTTTCCTTCTTCCCTTTATATCTTTCCCTTCTTTCTCCCCTTTCCTTCCTTCTTTCCTCCTAGCAGCAGTCAATCCACTTCCCTCCCCTCTGTCATAGAGGGCCACTTCACCTAGCAATAGCTTATCCTTCAGCTAACCATAACCAATTGCTATAGGTCAACAACCAACAACAACAATTGAAGGCAAAATAGCAGCAGTAGTATTTTATTAATCCACAGACTACAGGACTGCAGAATTCAACTTTATAAACTCCCAATTCCATTCACCGATGTTGCGATTGTCAAAATCTTCCTCTTCTGCCCCATCCCAGAAAGGAACCCTGGTCCAATTTATTTTTAAGGCTAACACTTTGTGCGCATTTTGTGTTTAATGCTTCCCCGCTTTCCTGCGCCAAAAGACGAAGCTTCAAGGCAATGGTTCCTTCCCACTGCTGCTTTATAAAGCGAGCAGAACACATTGGACATTCAATTTTCCAGATATATATATATATATATATATATATATATATATATATATATAGTGGACCTTCTACTGTCGCAATCTTCCAGTGTGGATTGGCACCTCAGTAGGTGCAAAATAATAGTATTTATTATTCTATATGTATGTGCTGTTTGGAAACACTTCAGTGCAATAGAAAACTCCATATAACTCTTCCACAGGATAGACCTTTATACACTTCCGCCAAACCCTGTGCCCTTTTCTTATTTACACATATCGCAATTGTACACACATATACATATATACGTATGTATAGAGAGATATATATATGTAGAGGTATGTATATATACAGACACACAAAACAGTAAGAAAATACAGGGCTGAATGTATACCAAAGGAGTCTTTTGTGCGTAAAAAGTGCCAAAACTGGGGTCTCTTCAAGTTATATAAGATTGCAGAAATATTCCGGATCTATTCCGGACATCCGAGAAATATTCCGGACACCCAAGAAATGTTCCGAATCTGTTCCAGGCACCCGAAAAACATTCTGGATCTATACTGGACACCCAAGAAATATTCTGAATCTATTCCGGATATCCGAGAAATATTCCGGACACGCAAGAAATATTCCAAGTCTATTCCAGACATCCGAGAAATATTCCGGACACCCAAGAAATATTCCGAATCTGTTCCAGGCACCCGAAAAACATTCCGGATCTATTCTGGACACCCAAGAAAAATTCCAAATCTATTCCGGACATCCGAGAAATATTCCGGACACCCAAGAAATATTCCGAATCTGTTCCAGGCACCCGAAAAACATTCCGGCTCTATTCCAGACACCCAAGAAATATGCCGAAACTATTCCAGACACCCCAAAAATATTCCGGATCTATTTCAGACGTCTGAGAAATATTCAGAATCTATTCCGGACACCCAAAAATATATTCTGGATCTATTTCAGACACTTGAGAAATATTCCGGATCTATTTCAGACGTCTGAGAAATATTCCGGATCTATTCCGGACACCCAAAAAATATTCCAAATCTCTTCCGGACACCTGAAAAATATTCTGAATCTATTCCGGGCTCTTGAGAAATATTCCGAATTTCTTCCGGACACTTGAGAAATATTCTGGATCGATTCTGGACACTCAAGAAAGATTCCGAATCTATTCCAGACACCCAAAAATATTCCGGATCTATTTCAGACACTTGAGAGATATTCTGGATGAATTTCAGACATCTGAGAAATATTCCGAATCTAATCCGGGAACCTGAAAAATATTCTGGACCTATTTTGGACACTCGAGAAATATTCCAAATCTATTCCGGACACCTGAAAAATATTCCGAATCCATTCCGGGTTCATGAGAAATATTTCGGATCTATTCCGACACCCGAGAAATATTCCGGATGTTTTCTGGATGCTCGTTTCATCTCAGGCGTCGAGCTCCAGTTGTTCTTGGTGCTCGCTGGGCCTCAGCATCAGCTGCTGCTCGTAGAAGAGGCTTTTTGCATAGTTGATTTCCTGAGACAGCTTCACCGCCAGCTCCTCGGACGCAACGTGGACCTGCGGGAAAAAACGGACAAGTCGGCTTTCTAGAAAGGAAGGAGTATTGGGTTTCAACCTTGCTCTGCTCAAGTCTGTTACCCTCAAGGAGAAGTAGATAGATAGCATTAAGCGAGGCTGAGGGAGTACCTTCTTTCCCCCTCCCATTCCCAAACAAGACACCAAATATCCATCATTCAGGATTGGGGAACTGTTCGGATCACAGCAAAAGTGCGACGGTCATTGAAATGGATGTTACACTATGTAACAAAATTTGAAAAAAAAAATCTGTTCCTGGTTTGAAAATGTTATTTCCTCTTTCAATGTGCGGTCCTTATTTGGAAGTCATTGTTTGACTCAAAAAACTTCATTTTTGTGGCTGCCACAAGCTATATTCAATTGGATTAGTCCTTCATTGAAAAACTGGACCATACGTTCTCTCTCTCTTTGTATTTCATCATTTTTTATAATTCTATATAATTTTATAATTCTATATAACCAATCACTATGTGATATAAATATACACACTAGCTGTACCCGCCACGCGTTGCTGTGGCCAACCTTCCCTCCCTCTTTCTCCCCTTCCTTCCCTCTTTCCTTCCTTTCCTCTTTTTCTTTCCCTATTTCTCTTCTTTCTTCCATCTCTACCTGTTTCTTTCCTCCCTTTCTTTGCTCTTTGGTTACATCCTTCCTTCTCTCCTTCCTTCCTTCCCTATCTTTCGTTCCTTCTCTCCTTCCTCCCCTCTCTTTTTCCTTTCACTTTTTTATTGCCTTCTCCCCTTTCTTGCTTCTCTACTTCTTTCTTTGCTTCCTTCCTTCTTTCCCTCCCTCCTTCTCTCCTTCCTTCCTTTCCCTCTTTCATTCCTTCCTTCTTTCCCTCCTTCTCTTGTTACTCCTTGACTGTCCGTTCCATTTAATATTGTATTTATATCTTACATAGAAAGAAGGAAAGGAAGAAGGAAGGAGGGACAGGAAGGAAGGAAGGAAAAAGGAAGGGAGGGAAGAAGGGAAGGAAGGAAAAGAAAGAAGGAGGGACAGGAAGGGAGGGAGGAAGGAGGGAGGGAAAGAAAGGAGGGGGGTGAAGAAAGGAGGGAGGGAAGGAAATGAAGGGGAAGGAAATGAAGAAAGGGAAAGAAGGAGGAAAGGGAGGGAGGAAAAGAAGGAAAGGAAAAAGGAAGGAGGGACAGGAAGGAAGGAGAAAGGGAGGGAGAAGGAAGGAAGAAGAGAAAGGAAGGAGGGGGTGAAGAAAGGAGGAAGGGAAGGAAATGAAGGGGAAGGAAATGAAGAAAGGGAAAGAAGGAGGAAAGGGAGGGAGGAAAGGAAGGAAAGGAAAAAGGAAGGACAGGAAGGAAGGAGAAAGGGAGGGAGAAGGAAGGAAGAAGGGAAACGAAGGAGGGGGATGAAGAAAGGAGGGAGGGAAGGAAATGAAGGAGAAGGAAATGAAGGAAAGGAAGGAGGAACAGGAGGGACAGGAAGGAAGGAAGGAAAAAGGAAGGGAGGGAAGAAGGGAAGGAAGGAAAAGAAAGAAGGAGGGACAGGAAGGGAGGGAGGAAGGAAGGAGAAGGAAGGAAGGAAGGAGGGAAAGAAAGGAAGGAGAAAGGGAAGGAGAAGGAAGGAAGGAAAGGAAGGAGGCGGATGAAGAAAGGAGGGAGGGAAGGAAATGAAATAGGAAAGAAAGAAGGAAGGAAGTAGGGACAGGAAGGAAGGAAAAAGGGAAGGAGGGAAAGAAGGGAAGGAAGGAAAAGAAAGAAGGAGGGACAGGAAGGAAGGAAGGGAAGAGAGGGAGGAAGGAAGGAAGGAGGAAGGAAGGAGGGAAAGAAAGGAGGGGGATGAAGAAAGGAGGGAGGGAGGGAAGGAAATAAAGGGGAAGGAAATGAAGAAAGGGAAAGAAGGAGGAAAGGGAGGGAGGAAAAGAAGGAAAGGAAAAAGGAAGGAGGGACAGGAAGGAAGGAGAAAGGGAGGGAGAAGGAAGGAAGAAGGGAAAGGAAGGAGGGGGATGAAGAAAGGAGGGAGGGAAGGAAATGAAGGAGAAGGAAATGAAGGAAAGGAAGGAGGAACAGGAAGGAAGGGAAAGAAGGAAAGGAAGGAGAAGGAAGGAAGAAAAGGAAATAAAGGGAGGAAGGAAAGGAGGGGAGTGAGGGAGAGAAGGAAAGTCATTCACTCAAGCACTCTCGACCTTCCTCGCCTTCACCTCCTCCTCCTCCTCCCCTTCTTCCTTGCCTGGAGGCGGCGCTGCTGCCGCTGCCACTCATCCGCCCCTTCCTCCTCCAACAGGAAAAGGAGGAGGAGGAGACCGCCCTCCTGACATAGCAGGGAAAGAGAAGGGGCTCCATGCTGCAAGCCTCCACCTCCACTTCCATGGTGCCCACTCTTATGTGTGTAGCCGTGCAAACACGCGGCTGTTTCCCGCGTCAGGAGAGAATGCTTCTGGAACATGGCCATACACCCCGAAAAACCTACAACAACCCAGTGATTCTCGCCATGAAAGCCTTTGAAAATACATAAATACATAAAGGAGCGACTTGAGAAACTGCAAATCGCTTCTGGTGTGAGAAAATTGACTGTCTGCCTGGATATTTGACCATCGTGTGGGAGGTGTCTCTCATGTCCCCACATGGGAAGCTGGAGCTGACAGGAGCTCACCCTGCTCCCCAGATTCGAACCGCCGATCTTTCGGTCAGCAGTTCCGCCAGCACCAGGGTTTAACCCATTACGCCACCGGAAGCTCCAAAGAAATAAATACTAACCTATCAACAATCTAAATGAAAATTGTGATTTTTTTTCCTAGATTTATTTTATTTTGTATCAAAGGCGTTGCATAAATTAGTATAAAACTGATAAAAATAGAAGGAGCGCAGGTGGCTAAGTATCTTTTGACCAAAAACGGGCAACAGCAATGGCATTGTCTGTAGCCTCCAACAATTCCTCCTCTGTACATGAGGCAGGACATACAGGACAAGCATGTTCTGCTCCACAGTCACACAAGATGTGAAATCGGGGGGGGGGGGGGGGGGGCGGGACGGGACGGGACAATGCCAGCTAGCTTGTAGAGTTTATCAAGAGGTGTAGGTTTAAAACATCCTGTGATTATTCTGTAGGTTTAAGACATCCTGTGATTATTCTGTAGGTTTAAAACACCATGTGATTATTCTGTAAGTTTAAGACATCCTGTGATTATTCTGTAAGTTTAAGACATCCTGTGATTATTCTGTAGGTTTAAGACATCCTGTGATTATTCTGTAGGTTTAAGACATCCTGTGATTATTCTGTAGGTTTAAAACATCCTGTGATTATTCTGTAGGTTTAAAACATCCTGTGATTATTCTGTAGGTTTAAGACATCCTGTGATTATTTTGTAGGTTTAAAACATCCTGTGATTATTCTGTAGGTTTAAAACATCCTGTGATTATTCTGTAGGTTTAAAACATCCTGTGATTATTCTGTAGGTTTAAAACATCCTGTGATTATTCTGTAGGTTTAAGCCATCCTGTGATTATTCTGTAGGTTTAAAACATCCTGTGATTATTCTATAGGTTTAAAACATCCTGTGATTATTCTGTAGGTTTAAGACATCCTGTGATTATTTTGTAGGTTTAAAACATCCTGTGATTATTCTGCATGTTTCATTCAATGCTACGTTCACCTGCTTTGCATTATTTTTATAGATAATAATAATAATAATAAATAATTTTAAAAAAGAATCTGCCTTGAAAAATCAAGATGAATTTCCATTGAAGAAGAACCAGTATTATGGAAAATTACCCTAAATATAAGATAGCACCCACAAACAAGCGGAATATAAAACTTGAGGAACAGACCCCCTAAACATGAGCAGGCACCCTCCGCCTCCTTACCATGGGCTTCTGATGGGACGGGCCTGGCATGGCGACGCCACTGCTGGAGTTAACCGCCTTCTTGGTCAGCTGCACGTAGACCTTCCCGTGGTCCTTGGAGACGAGGCAGTGGTAGAGGTCGTCGTACTTGACCTCCAGGAAGATGGCCTCCCGGTCCATGGCGTCCCCGCTCTTGAGGAAGTAGACGGCCTTGGAGGTGATGATTACGCAGTAGCTGTCGATGTTTTCCACGGCGATGAAGCTGCAAAGGGCGAGATGATAGGCTGAGGACCCACGTGTGTGGACACGTTCTGGGTTTCAGGCATGGGGCTTTCTCATATGAAATATTAGGAGATAGTTTAATCACATACTCATGTACATACCCTGCTTTTATCTTCCTTCCTTTTCACTACTTTTTCCCTTCTCCAGCTCTGAAAGGGTCTACATTCTCCCTTCTCCAGCTCTGAGATGGTCTACTGCAGTTGTTCTCAACCTGTGGGTCCCCTGATGTTTTGGCCTTCAACTCCCAGAAATCCTAATAGCTGGTAGACTGGCTGGGATTTCTGGGAGTTGTAGGCCAAAACACCTGGGGACCCACAGGTTGAGAACCACTGGTCTACTGCCTAGCTTCTCCAGCTGAGAGGGTCTACTCTCTCCTTTCTCCAGCTCTGAGGCCCACCTTCTTCAGCTCTGAGGTCTACTTTCTCTTTTGTCCAGTTCTGAGACCTACCTTCTCCAGCTCTGAGAAGGTCTACCTTCTTCAGCTTTGAGGCCTACATACTCCAGCTCTGAAAAGGTCTGCATTCTCCAGCTCTGAGGCCTACCTTCTGCCTTCTCCAGCTCTAAGAAGACTACTTTCTCCCTTTTCCAGCTCTGAGGAGGTCTACTCTTCCTTGTCTCCAGCGCTGAGGAGGTCTACTTTATTCTTGCTCCAGTGCTGAGGCCTACCTTCTACCTTCTCCAGCTAAGAAGACTACTTTCTCCCTTCTCCAGCTCTGAGGCCTACGTTCTCCCTTTTTCAGCTCTGAGAGAATCTATCCCTTTTCCCCAGCTACAAGAAGACTAATTTCTCCCTTCTCCAGCTCTGAGGAGGCCTACCTTCTCTAGCTCTGAGAGGTTCTACTCTCTCTTTTCTCCAGCTCTGAGAGGGTCTACTCTCCCCTTTCTTCAGTTCTAAGAAGGTCTAATTTCTCTCTTCTCCAGCTCTAAGTAGGCCTACCTTCTCCAGCTCTGAGAGGGTCTACTCTCCCCTTTCTTCAGTTCTAAGAAGGTATAATTTCTCTCTTCTTCAGCTCTAATTAAGACTACCTTCTCCAGCTCTGATAGGGTCTACTCTCCCCTTTCTTCAATTCTAAGAAGGTCTAATTCCTCTCTTCTCCAGCTCTAAGTATGCCTACCTTCTCCACCTCTGAGCGGGTCTACTCTCCCCTTTCTCCAGTTTTAAGGTCTAATTTCTCTCTTCTCCAGCTCTAAGTAGGCCTACCTTTTCCAGCTCTGAGAGTCTACTCTCCCCTTTCTCCAGCTCTGAGAAGGTCTAATTCCTCTCTTCTCCAGCTCTAAGTATGCCTACCTTCTCCACCTCTGAGCGGGGCTACTCTCCCCTTTCTCCAGCTTTGAGAAGGTCTAATTTCTCTCTTCTTCTGCTATAAGTAGGCCTACCTTCTCCATATCTGAGAAGGTATAATTTCTCCCTTCTCCAGCTCTGAGGAGGCCTATTTTCTCCAGCTCTGTGAGGGTCTATTCTCCCCTTTATCCAGCTCTGAGAAAGACTACTTTCTCCTTTCTCCAGCTCTTACGAGTGTCTGCCTCACAACATCTCCACGAAAACATGGTTCTCTTTGTGGCTCTTTCCCTCATATAGCAACATTGCCTTTCTTTCCCAGTGAGGACATCACCGAGGGCTAAGCACGGATGCGTTTTGCAACAAGTAGGCGCAAGGCAGAGTGTGAACCCTGGATTTGTTGGGAAATCCGTAACGTTGTGTTGCCTGACGGCTGAGTCACACGCCATTGTTCCTCTAATCACTCTCCTCCCTCCAAGATCCCTTGCCAAACCTCCTTCTCCTGAACCTTGGACGACTGCAGGGAGGGACGAGGAGCTCCAGCAACCCCTCCTTCCACCTTCTTTCCTTCCCAAAAGCCCTACGTTTCGGCCAACTGGACTAAAAACACAACCCAAAGCAACAAAGTTTTCCAAAACGCCGATGCCCAAACCACAAAGGGCCAGAGCACACCATTTCCAGGGAACAAAGCAGAAGCAGCGAGACCTCTGGGGAAACGCATGGCTTGGTGCCTCCGAGCTCCGAGTACATCAGGAAGTCATCTAATTGCACAACAATGTTTTCCAGAAGTGAAACAGTGGGGGGAAAATATGGAAGCGTTTAGCTCAAACACTACAGCAAAAGCATTGAAGCGCTCTTTTTTACGGATTTAACTCAGAGAGAAAAATATGGGGAACGTCAAAATCCTTCCAATCAGCGTACTGTCAAAACCTTATACGGCTCGGGCCCAGACTACAGTGTTCCCTCGCTACTTCATGGTTCGCTTTTCGCGGACTCGCTGTTTTGCGGGTTTTTGCTATTCCGAGGTTCGCTTTTCATGGACTCACTGTTTTGCAGGTTTTTGCTACTTTGCGGTTCGCTTTTCGCAGACTCGCTGTTTTGTGGGGTTTTGCTACTTTGCAGTTTGCTTTTCACGAACTCGCTGTTTCACGGGTTTTTGCTACTTTGCAGTTCGCTTTTCATGAACTCACTATTTTGTGGGTTTTTGCTTCTTTGCGGTTCGCTTTTTACGGATTCGCTGTTCCGCGGGTTTTTGCTACTTTGCTGTTTGCTTTTCGCAGACTCGCGGGTTTTTTCTACTCTGCAGTTCGTTTTCTGTCGACTCGCTGTTTTGCAGGTTTTTGCTACTTTGTGGTTCACTTTTCGCACACTCGCTGTTTCACGGGTTTGTGCCACTTTGCAGTTTGCTTTTTACGGACTCGCTGTTTCGCGGGTCTTTGCTACTTTGAGGTTCGCTTTTTACGGATTTGCTGTTTCGCAGGTTTCTGCTACTTTGTGGTTCGCTTTTCACGGACTCGCTGTTTCATGGGTTTTTGCTACTTTGTGGTTCACTTTTCACGGACTCGCTGTTTTGCGGGTCTTTGCTACTTTGAGGTTCGCTTTTTACGGACTTGCTGTTTCGCGGGTTTTTGCTACTTTGAGGTTCGCTCTTCAGAGACTCACTGTTTCACGGGTTTTTCCTACTTTGCGGTTCACTTTTCACACACTCGCTGTTTCACGGGTTTTTCCTACTTTGCAGTTCGCTTTTCACCAACTTGCTGTTTCGCGGGTTTTTGCTACTTTGCGGTTCGCTTTTTGCGGACTTGCTGTTTCACGGGTTTTTGCTACTTTGCGGTTCGCTTTTTGCAGACTTGCTGTTTCACGGATTTTTCCTACTTTGCAGTTCACTTTTCACGAACTCGCTGTTTCGCAGGTTTTTGCTACTTTGTGGTTCACTTTTCCCAGACTTGCTGTTTTGTGGGTTTTTGCTACTTTGCAGTTCGCTTTTCACGAACTCGCTGTTTTGTGGGTTTTTACTACTTTGCGGTTCGCTTTTCACAAACTCGCTGTTTTGCGGGTTTCTTCTACTTTGAAGTCTGCTTTTCGAGGACTCGCTGTTTCACGGGTTTTTGCCTCCCAGTTTATGAATGGTTGCCATTGCCCAGAGCAGCGTTCTAATCCCTCCTTCTGGGAATGGAGTGTGGAAGGGGGTTTCACCCTCCCTCTCAAGAGAGATTGCAAAGCAAAACAGATAGCTAGCCAAAAAAAAGTGTGCGGTGGTTCTGTATCTCACCCTTGGAATGCGATATACACATAGCGTCACTACACGGATTTTCACTTTTCGCGGGTGGTCCTGGAACGTAACACCCGCGATAAGTGAGGGAACACTGTATCTGGAAAAAGATAACAAAATTTGGAAATAAAAAATGTGTAATATGATCACATGTTACACATTTTTTATTATGGTCGCAATTTCGCGTAAATGCCCTTTCAACCCACGCCTTTGATATGTAGTGTTATCAAAGGTCTGGAAGCCAAGCCCTATGAGGACTGGCTTAAACAGTTGAGTATATTTTAGCTTGGAAGAGAGAAGGTGGAAGGGGGCAGCAGCCATGTTCAAATATCAGAAAGGATGTCCCACTTATGGTAGAACCAACTAGGAAATGATACTGATAATCCAGGAAACACAAATCGTGCAACGTAAAATGTACTATATTATAATACTATAATAATATATAATTATAATAATATAATCCAATGACAATATAACAATAAATATAATTGAATATTATATAACAATAAATATAATTGAATATTATACAACAATAAAATATATTAATAAAAATATAAATATAATTAAATAATAACAAAATCTAATAATATAATATAATAATAAATAATATAATAATATAATATTACTAAATATAATAAAATAATCTAATCTAATAGTAAATAATATAACTAAACAATACTATTATATAACAATATATTTATAAATATAATAAAATAAAAATATAATCTAATAATAAATCTAACTAAATAACATTATATAATAAAATTAATATGATAAAATAATAATAAAATATAATAACTAAATAAAAATATTATATAACAATATAATATATATAATTAAATAATATAATCTAATGATATAATAAAATATAATCTAAAAATAAATCTAACTAAATAATATTATATAATAAAACAAATATGATAAAATAATAATAAAATCTAATAACTAAATAATAATGTTATATAACAATATAATATATATAATTAAATAATATAATCTAATAATATAATAAAAATATAATCTAATAATAAATATAACTAAATAATAATATATAACAATATAATATTATTATATTATAATATAATCAAATAATAAATATAACAAAACAATATGACATAACAATATAATAGCAAATAAAATAGTAATATAATCTAATAATATAACCAAACATAATTAAATAATACAATAAAATAAGCATGCAAGAATGACATTCCTGGAATTTAATCTTGTTTAATTAAATAACAATATAATTAATTAATAATAAATATAATAATAACATAAAAATCACAATAAATATAATCATAAATAAATATGATATAAAAATCATAAATATAAATATAAATATGATTTGAATGCAATATTCCTGCTTCTTGGATGGCCCATGAGGTCTCTTCCAACTCATTGATTCTATAATTCTATGATTCTATAATAATATAATAAATAATATACTTTAATAATATTAAAATAAATATAATGAAACATTAATATAATATAATAATTCATGCAGCATGCAGAGGGAAACCGACTTTCCAGAAAATTGCTAGATCCTCCATGCAACTCCTGGATGTTCCCCCTGGAAGTTACCACGGAGTCGTGTTCGAGAACCCAGCAAATTCCCCAAAAGGATATTATTATTATTATTATTATTATTATTATTATTATTATTAATAATAATAATAATAATAATAATAATAATAATAATAATAATAATTTTATTTATACCCCGCTAAAATCTCCCGAAGGACTTGATGCGGCTTACAAAGGTTATCTTTTAATGTCTTCCAAATGTTACTCTATGTTATGGTGGGCGTGGGAAATGTATTTATTGTCCCCCTGCTCTAGGGCTTCTGTTAATAGAAGGACGTAGTTACCCCCAAACCACCAGGACAGCAAAGGGGTTTGATGCTTACAACTCATCCTGTACGTTGTCGGTCAGTTTGTAGTGCAGCTCCTGCCCTTCGGCTTGGCTCTCCGAATATCGGGGAAGGAGCCCTTGCGGACCCCGGCAGCACCGCGGCTTCCGCACCCGCTCCGCTTGCGTCCTGGGAAGAAAGGGAAAACGCTGAGAGTTGGAGGAACCAGGGTAGGAGACACGAAGGAAGGTGGGAAAAGTCTCCGATCCTAAAGTTAAAATCCAAGCCAAGCAGGAAGGATACCGCGACGGGACTGGCCGCCTGCCCAGGAAACACGAAGGTTGTCATTGCTATTGAGACTCCCACTACTCAGGAGACACCAATGGCCCTCCCTCCAATGACATTGCAGGTTAGAGTGAGCGCCATGAACATGTCCAAGAGCCCTGCCAATGTCCTCCACCATCACCACACTGCCCACCACCCAAGGGAAGGCTTTCATACTTCCATCCTAGATTTATGTGTTTCCTCCACCACAGACATCCCAGTGTTTCTTACTCTCTCCACTGGTGTGGAATTTGCATGACCCCGCCCACTGCCTCTCCCATAGGGAGCGCCATGAATATGTCCAAGAGCCCTGCCAATGTCCTCCACAAACACCACACTGCCCACTGCCCAAGTGAAGATTTTCATACTTCCATCCTAGATTTGTAAGTTTCCTCCACCACAGACATCCCAGTGTTTCTTACTCTCTCCATTGGTGTGGAATTTGCATGACCCCGCCCACTGCCTCTGCCGTAGTGAGTGCCATGAACATGTCCAAGAGCCCTGCCAATGTCCTTCACTACCACCACACTACCCATCACCCAAAGGAAAGGCTTTCATACTTCCATCCTAGATTTATGTGTTTCCTCCACCACAGACATCCCAGTGTTTCTTATTCTCTCCACTGGTGTGGAATTTGCATGACTCCGCCCACTGCCTCTCCCATAGGGAGTGCCATGAACATGTCCAAGTAAAGGCTTTCATTCGAGGACCATTTCATCCTAGATTGTATGTGCTTCCTCCACCACAGACATCCCCGTGTTTCTTACTCTGTTGAATTTGCATGACCCCGCCCACTGCCTCTCCCATAGGGAGCGCCATGAACGTGTCCAAGAGCCCTGCCAATGCCCTCCACAAACACAACAATGCCCACCAAGCAAGGGAAGGCTTGCATACTTCCATCCTAGATTTATGTGTTTCCTCCATCACAGACATCCCCATGTTTCTTACTCTCTCCATTGGTGTGGAATTTGCATAACCCCGCCCATAGGGGTTATGCAAATTCCCATAGGGAGTGCCATGAACATGTCCAAGAGCCTTGCCAATGTCCTCCACAAACACAACAATGCTCACCAACCAAGTAAAGGCTTTCATTCGAGGACCCTTTCATCCTACATTTCGTGTGTTTCCTCCACCACAGGCATCCCAGTGTTCCTTTCTCTCTCCATTGGTGTGGAATTTGCATGGCCCACTGCCTCTCCCTTAACCCTTTCCTACTCTTTTCTATGGCGGACAGCAAACACAGGAATTGACCGGCAACTGGACATAATAGAGAGGTTCGGGAGAATCCGCCATGATTTATAGGAGTTGTAGGTCCTGGGATGTATAGTTCACCTGCAAATCTAAGAACTGCACTCTGAACACCAACAGTGGACCTGGAACTAACTTGGCAAACATGACCAACAAAAAATACTGGAGGTCTTTAGAGGAGTTGTAGTTCACCTACATCCAGAGATCACTGTGAACCCAAACAATGATGGATCTGGACCAAACTTGACATGCATACCTGATATGCCGAAATTTCATTTCTGGAGGGATTTGGGAAGAAAGGACTTTCCTTTCTGGGAGTTGTAGTTCACCCACAACCAGAACCTTCTTTTTTCTCCACCTCTGAGAAGTTCTATTTATCCTCCTTATCCAGCTCTGAAAAGGGTTAGATTCTCTCTCCTCCAGCACTGAGATCTACTTTCTCCCTTCTCCAGACTTGAAAAGGCCTACATTTCCCTTCTCCAGGTCTACTTTCTCCCTTCTCCAGATCTGAAAAGGCCTACATTGTCCCTTCTCCAGGTCTGAAGTCTACTTTCTCCCTTCTCCAGACATGAAAAGGCCTACATGTTCCCTTCTCCAGGTCTGAGGTCTACTTTCTCCCTTCTCCAGATCTGAAAAGGCCTACATTTCCCTTCTCCAGGTCTACTTTCTCCCTTCTCCAGATTGAGAAGGCCTACATGTTCCCTTCTCCAGGTCTGAGGTCTACTTTCTCCCTTCTCCAGACCTGAAAAGGCCTACATGTTCCCTTCTCCAGGTCTGAGGTCTACTTTCTCCCTTCTCCAGATCTGAAAAGACCTACATTTTCCCTTCCCCAGGTCTGAGGTCTACTTTTTCCCTTCTCCAGATCTGAAAAGATCTACATTTTCCCTTCTCCAGGTCTGAGGTCTACTTTCTCCCTTCTCCAGACCTGAAAATGCCTACATTTTCCCTTCACCAGGTCTGAGGTCTACTTTCTCCCATCTCCAGATCTGAAAACGCTTACATTTCCCTTCTCCAGGTCTGAGGTCTACTTTTTCCCTTCTCCAGATCTGAAAAGGCCTACATTTCCCTTCTCCAGGTCTACTTTCTCCCTTCTCCAGATCTGAAAAGGCCTTCATTTTCCCTTCTCCAGGTCTGAGGTCTACTTTCTCCCTTCTCCAGACCTGAAAAGGCCTATATTTTCCCTTCTCCAGGTCTGAGGTCTACTTTCTCCCTTCTCCAGCCCAGAGAGGTGGTTCCTTACAATGTCTCCAGGGCAACATGGCTCTCTTGATGGCTCTTCCTTCCTTTCTCTCATACATGACACCTTTCTTTCCCAATGACACCACAGAGGGCCACTTCACCTAGCAACAGCCTTTGTGGTGTAGACATACATTGACACATACACACACATCCACATTCAGGTTTATTTTTGGAATTTTTTACAGTAGTGGATTTTTGAATCTGACTGTAATTAAGAATTCATCAAAAGGTATAGACATGAGGGGCCCTCAGAGCTGGAGAAGGGAGAAAGATACCTCTGCTCGTAATATCGAAGGGTCGTGATGGGGAAATAGAACTAAAAACATTGCGCTACACCAAGAACTTTCTGCTGAAGCTGCTTGGCAACCGCATGGCCGACTGCACGGCCGACGGACGGACGGACGGAGGGGCTTCTTGCAGATGTTTCCTCCCGGGGCTCATTTCCTCCCGCTTGGCTCTGCAGCCCCTTCTCCTTGAGGCCGGGCTTTCGTCCGCACGCGCTCCACCCTTTTCATTTGGCGACACCGACAGTGTTCTTTCTTTCCCTTCTTTTTCTCTTTCCTTCCCTCTTCCACTCCTACTTTCACCTGCTTTCTACCTTCTCTCGCTCGGAGAAGTCCTACTTTCTGCCTTCTCCAGCTCTAAAAAGGCCCACTTTCTCCAGCTCTGAAAAGGCCTACTTTCCCCTTTCTCTTGCTCTGTGGAGTCCCACGTACTCCCTTCTCTGAGAAGTCCTAATTTCTCCTTCTCCAGCTCTGAAAGGGCTTACTTTCCCCCTTCCCCAACTCTGAGGAGTTCCACTTTCTCACTTCTCCTGCTTTAAAAAGGCCTATTTTTCTCCCTTTTCCCACCCTGAAAAGGCCTACTTTTTTCCAGTTCTCAAAAGACCTACTTTCTTCAGTTCAGAAAAGGCCTACTCTCTCCAGATCTGAAAAGGCCAACTTTCCCCCTTCTCTCGCTCTGAGAAGTCCTACTTTCTCCTTCTCCAGCTCTGAAAAGCCCCACTTTCTTCACCTCTGACAAGGCTTACTTTCTACCTTCTCTATCTCTGAGAAGTTCCACTTTCTCACTTTTCTAGCTCTAAAAAGGCCTATTTTCTCCCTTCTCCAGCCCCGAAAAGGCCAACTTTCTTCCTTCTCCAGCTCTGAAAAAGCCTACTTTCTGCAGTTCTGAAAAGACCTATTTTCTCCAGTTCTGAAAATGCCTACTTTCTCCAGCTCTGAAAATGCCTACTTACTCAACTTTTGAAAGGCCTACTTTCTCCAGCTCTGAAAATACTTACTTTCTCCCTTCTCCAACTCTGAAAAGGCCCACTTTTCCACCTCTGATAAGGCTTACTTTCTCCCTTCTCTTGCTTTGAGAAGTCCTATTTTCTCCTTTCTCCAGCACTAAAAGGGAGCCCGGCCTCCTCTGCACCTGCCAGTGCTGCTGTCTGGGGAAGCACGTCTTGGGGGGGGGGGACTCACCCTTCTCCACACCCCATAGTTTGAGGACCCCTGATGTAAAGGATAGTGACAGGGTAGCAGGTCTGCGGGGATGAGGGCTTTTCCTCCAGTTCCTGAAGGGAGGGCCTCCATGGGAGCCTGCTGGGCATGCGCACTCGCTGCTGGCCATGCATGTGCACTCCTTCCTTCCCTCCCCTTCCTCCCTGAGGCTTACAGTTGAACGTCTTTCTAAGGGGGAGTGGGGGGAGGGAGGGGGAAGTGTTTTTTTTGGGGGGGGGGTTGAGTGGAGAACATACATTGGGTTGTTAGGTGTATCGTGTCCAAATTTGGTGCCAATTCCCCCAGTGGTTTTTGAGTTCTGATGGTATCACAAACGAACATTACATTTTTATTTAGATAGATGGTCATTTGTATGTGAACTCTGGGCAACTGTGGCTAATGCTTAACGCACTATGTTTAGGGCTCAGCCTTTCCATTTCTATTTCATTTACCTCGCCATTCCATACATGATCTCGCCTAGGTCGAATTGGTGCAAAAAAGGGAGGAAGGGAATAGTAGTAGTAGTAGTAACAATAATAATAATAATGAAAGCCAATCCGGCCTTGACTCCTGCGGCCCACTCCTGCAGATGGATGAAGCATTGCTTCGGATGCCAAACATGTGAAGTGGCGCAGTGCATGTTTTGCAGCCGAGTAACTAAGAATAGCTTTGGAATAAACAACACCAAGCCCTCGAGTGCAAATATGATATTCAAGCCCTTGGAGGAGCAGGACTCCCCTGGAGTTCAAAACATTGGATTCTGGCTCCAAGTTGCCGGTGGCCAACTGTCCACTGTTTATTATCTCTTGTCAGGGTTTTTTGATGGTACACCCTTGGGTTTCTTGTTTTTTACTGTTTTGATATGATGCTCAACCTGGCAATAGTACAAGGGGA